CTCTCCCTCCCTTGCCCCTCAGCCGCCCCTGCTCATGTTGTTGGCAAGGGGCTGAGACTGAGACAGAAGGAGGAGGAAAAAAGGTGGGCGACAGAAAGCGGGGGAGGGGGTTGGAGAGACGGGGCTGGAACCGAACCGCCGGGTGGGATAGGGGGAATCCGGAGAGGATGGGGGCTTGTCGTTGCGTTTTTACCTGACTTTTCCGCTGACATGCTTGCACTCCCGCTGGGACAGGGTCCCTGCAGCCGGAGTCAGGGGCCCCGGCCGGCGCCGGAGTCTGGGTCCGGGATGGCGCAGCGGCTGCAGCGCAGAGCCGGAGGGATGGAGACAGCGGCGGGGGGCGGAGGGAGGGCGGGGAGGGGGGAGCTTAAAGGGACCGAGGCAGGGGGGAGCTTCAGACGTCCCCCAACTCCCTCTCCCTCCGCTCTGGGACCACCTCTCTCCTCCTCTCACCCAGGCATTCAAGCCCCAGTTTAGGCTCCCTTGGAGTTGTCATGGAAACAGGGAGGCAAGACCAGGAAAGGAGGGAGGGACTAAGGGAAGGAAGGAAGGGAGAGAACTCTCTAGAGTCTCCCCTGCAAGGCTCGCCGGAGTGCTGGGGCTGTGCGAGAAGGCCAGAGGGTGCTTTGCAGATTCTTATCCCAGGCACCGCCAGCCCTGGTGCCCCCCACAGGCAGGTCTTCCTCACCTGTTTCCCTCAGGGCTCCCTGCAAGGTGCCGGGGTCTCTCCCAATCCTTGGTCTCAGCTCTGTGTTGCATGTGAGAGAACTGCACAGAGCTGGGAACTGAGAGGGCCTGAGGGTCTCCCAGCGCCCCCCCCACCTGTGGGAAGTCAGGTGTGATGCTCGGGTCTAATCTGAAGACATGTTGGCCTTTTCTTTTGGTACTGTAACTGACAGTGCAAAGTGGAATTGTATTTATTTTGGTTTCTGAGATAGGGTCTTGCTTTGTAGTCCACATTGGCCCCGAACTCATTATGTAGCTCTCCGCTGGCCTGGGACTTAACCCTCCTGAGTGCTGGGATTACAAGAGTGTGCTGGCAAGCCTAGTCAAAACAGAATTCTTAAAAGTTAGGGTTTTTTTTTCTTTTTTCTTTTAGAGATAAGCAACTTCTCCAAGCTTCTACCTGCTGAACACAACCAGCACCCTCCTCACGCCTGCCTAAAAGTGACAGAATATGCAGATGGCATCCCCAGGAGGCAAGAGCCCAGTTTCCTTTCTCCTGGGAGGACGTAGAACCGGAGAGGGCTCGAGACAGACGTTAAAGCAGGTGTGGTCTGCATGGTCTTTCTGTGCTCCCCTCCCCTCTGTTCCTTACTGGAGAAGACCCTTGGCCGCTGGACAGGGTGAGATGGTAATTTGAAGCAAATAGCCTCCCCATCTCTTCAAAACTAGATGTGAATAAATTCTTTTTTCCTTTTTACCACAAAACATGGCCTCCTTTGATGTGATCAGCAGAGAGCAAACCGACCCAAGCCTAGGAGAGGCCGATAACAGTACTGGGGGATGGCTACATCTCCTACCTCCTACCCCACTTTTAAAAATTTCAAAAACAGCCTCACTAAATTACCCAGGCTGGGCCTGAATTCTCGATCTGCTTGTCTCAGCCTTCCAGCGTGCTGGGATTACAAGCATCTGCCACCACGCCCGGGCTGGGTGCCTTCGTCCAGGGTTACCGAGCTGAAATAAGAGGGGAAGGTGCCTAAACCGCGCATTTCTAGCAGGTTGGTCTGGACACGCACGCCTCTTTGCTTTTGGATCGGGAGGAAACTTCCTGGGCAGGTCGGTGTTCATATCCCTTCCATGAATCCTTCTCACCCACCCACCACCGGGAGTCGACCTGAGGCACAGCGCTTATGGAGCGCACGGTCTTTGGCATTCTGGAGGCGCGTGGGTGGGGAGAGGGTAGGGACAGGCAATCTACCGGGATCTACACCAGTTAGGCTTTTTGCCGAAACACAGCAGAGATTGCCACCCCCACCCAGCACTCCCAGCCTCCACCCGAGGCCGAGTCCCTGGTGACAAAGGCCTCGCCCGAGCCAGTCCCAGGCCACAATTTAGGTCGCGGCGTCATCACCGGTCGTTCTGGTTCTCCGGCGTTTCGCGATCCCTTACTCCCACCCATGCGTACTCCACACTTCTGAGCTTGAGTGGGTTTTATTGGAAAACTAGAGTTCAGACCAAGCAAGAGGCTCAGACCTGCTGGGAAACCCTTTTCTCAAGGGACAAGTCTTTAACTGCTAAGTAAAAGCCCTAACACAAAAGCCCGGGCTGGGGCGGGGAGAGCTCAGGTCGGGAGCCGC